TCGTGTGTATTTTTTTTTTTTAAAGACAAAAAAATTAAATTTGCTTATTATTTTTGAAGAAAATTCCTTTACTATATACAAAAGGAGGGATCAGCATCAATCCATTTATGGTATATAAAAACCCTGACTGCATTACGTTACATCACCAATGAATTGATTTCATTGGTCGATCGATCTTGATCTTGTAATACAATAATAAGCCAATGATAGGATTTTTAGTTACGCTCCATTTATATTATTTTTTTTTTTTTTACAACGATATAATATGGAAGACGAAGAACATCAACATCACGATTTTGATACTTCTGGATCAGGCGCATCGACCACTTATCCTGTTCAATGTTCTTCCCTTAGAAAGGTAATTTACCCAATTAGGCCGTATACTTATAAAAAACAAAGTAATTTATGCGAAAGTACAAATGTTTTATATATTTTAGAATGGATTTGTCATGCTTAAAGGTAGACCATGCAAGATTGTTGAAATGACTACCAGTAAAACTGGTAAACATGGTCATGCGGTAATGATAAATCTTGTAAATCTTTTAATATAAATGTAGTAGTTTCATATTAATAATTTTAAATCATAGAAAGTTCATCTTGTTGGTATTGATATCTTCACTGGGAAGAAACTTGAAGGTAAAAAAAAATCATGATAAACAAATTCATTGGAGTTAATTGGAGTAATATTTCAATGAATAATAAATTTATCAAATTTTAAACCTGTTATTAACTAATTTTATAAAAGATCTTTCTCCGTCTACCCACAATATGGATGTTCCAAATGTCAATCGTAAGCTTTAAAATTTTTTTGCGCAGTTTTTCAATATTATATTTACTATAATCTTTGATATTTTTTAAAAAAAAGGTACTGAATACCAACTTTTGAACATCGATGATGGTTTTTTGAGTTTGATGACTTCTGATGGTACTACCAAAGATGATGTTCGTGTTCCGGATGGTGAATTGGGTGCAAAAATTCAAGCTGATTTTGATGATGGTACTCTAATATATATATATATAATATTACATCAAAATTTTAGAAGTTTATTATTAAATTAATTTTTAAATTATGATTAGGTAAAGAGCTTCTGGTTACCATTCTTAGTGCAATGGGTGAAGAGGCTGCTGTTTCTCATAAAGAAGCACCAAAATGTATGTATTATCGAATTATCATTTAAATTTAATATCATTTTTTTTCATCCTGAAACTAACTTAATTCTATTTTACAGCCTGATTATTAAAAAATTATTCGGTTTCAACAAATAACATTGATATATTTTCCTTTTCCTTTTTAGAAAACAATATTTATGAAAATTTTTGATTATATTATTTTAATATTTGATACATAATATATATAAAAAAATTGTGTCTTTTTAATAATCATTTTAATAATGATAATTAAACTCATTCTTAAAAAAAAAGAGCGTACACAAAAATTGTATATCTCAACAATTACACAATATAATCGAATAAATTCATTTACTTTATTAAGAATTCTTCAACATTATTTTTTCATGATGTACCACATGTTCTCAATAGGATTAAATCCAAAAATGTAAGTTGTGTGCTTCTAACTTCGGATAAACCATTTTTTTACATTGTCCTTTTCCTTTTGAAATTAAACTTTGCAAACATTGGTTATCATGTAAACAAACCTACCCAATCATTTTTATCTTAATAAATTTACATTACAACCGTGCCCTTTTTAGATATATGTGAAAAGTGGTGGTTGTAAATGCTCTTTGTACTTGCTTTGCCCGAAGTTCTGCTTATCCTCATAAATTCTGCAAATTTTCTGTAAACCCGATTCATTCATTCAACCTTTAAAAGGCCAAGTACGTAACACTTGACTAACTGTTAGTCATATGTAAAGTTAATTGAACACATTTTTTTCGCACAATTATCTTTTTTTTCTTTTCTCTCTTCACCTAATGATAAGCATGACGAATGATACGAATGAAAAATTATTAAGATTTCTTTTGACACTGAAAGAAATACCAAAAAAAAATTTAAGTGAGGTCCCTAAATATAATGATAATGGACATTGATTGCTCTGCAGTCGTGAAAAAAAAAAAATCAATTGCAAAATTGAAATCACACCTTGCAAATGAGTGTTTACATTGTCCTGAAGATGTCGGCAAGTATTAGAAAGAAGAACTTGCAAGTGAATCCGACATTTGCAAAAATCTTCGAATAAATAATCATCATTCACTACTACTGATCCCACTGCTATTACCAACTTACCACAAGAACTAGTCAAAATTTTTGTTTCTCAATGAATTAATCGTTCTTTATTAAAGGATCTGGGTGATGGTTAGAATTACATCACTATAAAAAATTTTTACCGGAAAACAGTATATTTGCCACATGCTTTCAGTTTTATCATACATAAAGTGTACTGACTGAACCTTCCAATGAAAGAGAGCCTTTCCGTATGTATTCTGTACGTATACTGATGAGGAAAAAAATGAAGATGTTTAAATACTATAATCTGAAATTGAAAAGGTTCTATGACAGCATTTTAGAATTTTTGAATTCAAGAAAATGGGATGCGCAAATTAGAACAAGCTTTAAATAAAATTATCGAAGAAAATATTTATGTTAAGTATTCCAAAGTGATAAACAAAAATGAATATTTTATCTTTCTACGAAAGTTTAAATTAAATTGATGGTATCATTTACTTTGGATTTTTGTTAAAGAAGAAGATACAATAGAGACGAAAAGACCATAATGAATAGTTGAAATCACTGCAAAAGAAAACAATTAAAAAACATAAGAAAAGCAATTAGAGAAAAACAAAGACAAGGAACTTGAAATGCTTGTTTATTTGCTGGCCTGGAATTTAATCAAGAACAAAACAAAAAATTAAAAAATTAAACTAACCTATAAACATAATAACAAAGATCTAGAATCATGAAAGAAAAAGCAAAGAAATTTATAATGACATCCGTAATAAACACAGGAACTTCTTATGAAAATGTTGCGATTTGAAATTTATTAATTAAATTTTGGGGCGAAAATATCAAAGAATCAGAGGAAATTTTGCCACCTATTTTGGTGGCAATTAAAATTTGAAAAGAAGTAGCTTGATTATTCAGAATTAAAGGAAGTCAAAGAAGAAAATGACGTATTAATTGAGATAGGAAATAAATTGTATATTATTTAAGAAAATTATCTGATGAATCAAAGAAATGATCTGATGAACTCTAAATCTTGAAACAATGTTATTGTGGTGGCATCCAACCTCTAGTAAAATTAGAAAAAGACCAGGGCCCTTTGAACATCAATATTACTCAAATAAAATGATCAAGAGAAGAAATACCTTGGTAAGGCCCCGAACGAATCAATGAAATTCGACCGATTCGAACAGATAATTTGATTCGAACGGATTCGAATTCGGATTGGTTCGATTCGATTCGAACAGATTCGAATATATAATTTGATTCGAACTGATTTGATTTGATTCAAACTGACTGGTTCGAATCTATAATAATAACTGATTTGAATCAAATACACTATATTGATATATAATAAATGAAAAATCTTTATTTTAATGTATATTTTATAATTTTATTTACAAAAATATTTTTTATTTATATAGTATAAATATTGTAAAATTCAAAAAAAAAATTTTACCTGGAGCAATAATTGCATCAATATTAGTACTTATTATTTTAGATTTAATGAATTGTACAACTGTAAATCGTTATTTTTTTTAATAATATAGGTCACCCATTAATATTAGTATTAATATCAAAAAATCCGTTATTATTAAAAACTCGAATAAATATCATATCAAGAAGAATTTTATTATCATTAAACCATTCGTAGACTTCAATCCATTAGTATTCATTAAATGGAGGCACACTAATTGAGATTCACTGTGTAATATAAATTTAAATTATCAAATTAAAAATATAAATTTAATATGACGTTAAAAAATTTTAGGAATCACTCTCACGAGGTTCACTTCACCAATTCAAGAAAACAAACATTAATAAGGACTATACATGAAGCCGAAATTAAAACCCAAAAGTAGAAATTACATTATACAAAAAAATTAATCAAAAATCTTCAAGTTGCCGTGACTCGGACAATATCCGGCTGTTTTGGATAAAACAACTACCGTTCGAAACCTCTCAATGAAGTGAGTGGTTAATTCATAAAATTTAAATCACCAATTATTGAAATATTTTAGTTTGTTATATCTTATTAATTATGATAAATCAATTCGACTTCATGTATAATGTTAATACCAACTATCCAAATTATAAATTTTTAATGTATAAAATTTGTTTCTTTATACGAAAATTACATGTTTATACAAGCTTTAAGCTTATTGGAATAATGTTTTTCTTTTCTTCGTATTAAATGAATTTTGAAATTTCAATGTATGTTAGTTAGTTACGCTTACTATTTAAACCTTTAATCGACGGCCAAATAGTAAAGTCTTCTTTTTGTCTATCAAAACAGGAAAGAAAATTAATCCGAGATTTTAGGTTTATGTTTTTCCCAAGCCCGTTTAATTAATCACTTCAGTTTATATAGAAACTGGTTCTTATAGGTTTATAATTAAGCAAAATCCACAAAACAATTCAGGCGTAAAGACAGGGCATTTTTATTTGAAAATTTGGATTATGAAAATATTTGCATTTTGGTTTTTTTATGTGAAAATGGGTTTATTGGTAATGTATTTAACATGGGGCAAGTTGTAGCATCTATTACATTGTTATCTGGTGGTGAATTTACAGGGAAGCATTGTATTAGTGTATATATATATGATTTTTAAAGCAACGAGGGTGTGCCAAATTTGGTCAGCTGAGACATGTTGCAAAATTTGATCAATCATATGTAAAAATCATTAAAGCTATCTCTCTTATCTCTCTATACATTAAGTTTTTTTTTTTTTTTTTTGGAAACAATGAGTGAATTAAAGAATTTTCCAAAGAACTATTATTATATTATATTTATATACATGTTAGTTTTTAATAAATCATAATTAATCATCCAACATTCGGAGCTAAATAACCGTGATATGATAAGGTTTTTAATTAGTAATGTAATGATAAAATAAACAAAATAATATTAATGATTCTTTTATTACCAATGACTCTATCCCTTCTTCATCATCTGCTGGAGGTTGTGATTCTGCTGCTGTTGATAATGATAAAAACTAAAAATAAAGTCATTAATAATTTGAAATCTGATAGAATGAATGACAGTTTTATTTTATTAAAATTATAATGTTACCTCTTCTGCTTCTGATTTAGAAACAGTAGAATCCATAGCTTCTTCAGAACTAATCAAGGTCAAATGATCTCTCACAACCAACGTCCAAAAATCTGTTTTTGGTGGTGAATATTGAACGCACAAGTTTTTTAATTCTCTAAGAAAGTTATTATAGCTTTCAACTTCATTTTCCTTTTATAATATATTTGAAAATCGAAAGTAAATTAATAAATTAGCTTATAAAATAAATTAACATATCTTGGCTCTATCGACTTTAATTTAATTGATTACCCGTGAAGCAACCGTACGTAAGAGTTTTAAACATTCTAATGCCTTTGGATAATGAGAGTCCCAAAATGAAATTTTAACTAAATCCAATATGATTTTGGCCATTTGCGAAATAGCTAAAATATAAATATAAACAGTAATATAATATTTGTGTGAATGGATAATAATAATAAATTTTATGGAAAATACTATTATTAATCAAGTATTATATTATTGTTGTTATTACTACCTGTACTGACTAAATCTTCCTCTCTATATGAAATCATATTATTAAAATCAGATATTGGATCTGTTGCACCAACTTCTCGAGTGACAGCATTTTTATCTTTTAATAAAGAATCTACATCAATTTCAGCTCTGGCTCTTTTTTCAACTGTTTGTTCTTCACTACTAGCACTTAATAATTCACTTATAGGAATCTCTGCTTCTGCAGGCTTATTGGCCTCGGCAAATCTACGCTTAGCAGTTTTTCCTTTTTCTTTGGCTGTATATGTTAAAAAATATTATTTTACTTAGTATTTTACCAGTTCAATCAAATAAACATACAAATATATAAGAGTGCGGGAGCGTGGATGATATCTTTTACCTTTTTTAACATTAAGAAGTTTTTTTAATTCTTCAACAACAACTTTATTTTTTTCTGCTAATGTTGGTAACAACTTTGTTTGTGAAATAATTTCTGAATCTAATGCAGGTATTGGAGTGTCTGGATTTAATGCTTTATGTGCAATTGCTTTTTTTAGAGCATAGAGAGTCGGATTATAACATTCTTTTAATTTTAAATGTTCTTTAGGATTTCTATAATTTTAATAATATAATTTTTGTTAAGGAGTTACAACAAATATATGTGTTTATCATATATATATTTATTACCCGTTATTGTCTACTGCAGCCTCCATAAGATCCATTCCTTTAATAAAAATTTCCATTTTATCCAATACTTCAACACTTGGTAAATTAGGATGTGTGTCAACTCTTCTCCCACTTGTTGTAAATATACGTTCCAAAGAAGGAAGTTCAATGTATTTACGATCTTCTTTGAAAGGGATCTATAGATAAAATAAAATAATTTCAAACTTCAATAATGATGACGATACCTCATAAGAATAAACTTAAATTACCAATATAGATGAGACAATTAATTAAATTGATAACTACTTACAAAGGAAAAGTATAAACATTCTTTTTTTGGTGTGATATGAGGAGCTAACACACCTAATTTTGGAGCTTCAAAATTTCTTCGTACATATCTAACTAAAGCATAAGTTTCTTTCTCATATAATCCATGAATCAGAGCAGAGAGATAATTTGCTGCCAAATAATTATTTTTTGGTGGGACTATTGTGTAAACTTTATCAAGAAGATATTCTCTTTTAAACTAGTTTTTAAATAAATCAGACTAAATTAATACTATATACAAAAATATGTGTGTACAAACATGCTATTTTATTTTAGTAACAAAGATTTTCACCTGATTTGATCTAATAAAACCAAGTATAGAAAATGATTGAGTAGTATTCAAACTTAGAACACCTTCTTCAATATTAGTGACAGGAATAAAAGTTTTTCCTAACAAATATGCCTTATCTAACTCTTCTTTGGACACATCAATGATCTCAGTTTTTCCATCCTCGTTAACAGTTATAGAAAATGTTCTAGACATGTTTACTTCGCATGTTTTCCCGTCCTGATTTGTTGCTGATTCAGCAAAAGTTGAGTATTTTTTTGCAGTTAAACGAGTTGATTTCATCGTTTTTGTGTAAGCTTCCACTTCGATAGCAAGAGAACGTTCAGGATGCATCGAAGGATCGTTTAAAGTTAATTGACCGCGGTATGATGCCACAAATTTTACTTGTCTAATATGTGGTTTGGATAATTGAGATAACGCTTCTGGTAATGTAAACAATGTTCCATTAGATGCCTCACAAAGTTTTTGGAGAATTTCTTCATTATGAACCTAACAAGATTATTGATGGATGCATTTTAACATAATTTTAAATTTCATTGTATACACATTTGAAAGTTTATGATACCTTTTGATCGGATTTATTTTCCCTTTTTAAATCTGAATATGGATCGTCAAAATCTACACCCCTAAAGAAAAATATTAATATTATAATAATGTTTTTCCAAAGGCTAATTTTTCTCAGCATAATAATAGTGATAATAATACAAACAATATATTCAATTCAATTTTATCTCTTGATAAAGCATCCAATACATTATCAATTTCAGTATCACTCATTGGAGATTCACCATCAGTTAAAAGATAAATCTTTTTCGTGTATTTTAATTGTCTGCAATGTTGGTTTATCATATTTGATGCAAGTGTAATTGCATTTAATGCTATAAAAAAAAATGTTTATTTTCTAAATTAGAATAATAAAAATACTGATTCAGATAAATAATCATTACACTTCAATTAATTAATGAATTAACCAACCATCTGCCTGCACATTTCCCCTGGTTAATTTATCATTTACAGTTCTAAGAATAGATATTAAAGGTTGTGATATAGGATAGAGTACAGATATATTTTTATAAGCTTCCGATCCATTATATAAGTCATTATCAGTTTCTATAACAATATATTTTGCACATGTATAAACATTAATTAAATACTTCATAATAGTTTTTTTGAAAGAAAATTTGCATTTTCTTTCTTACCATCAGCTCCACAGACTATTAAACTAGTCAAATCTGACTTTAAACCTGCCATAACCTTTTGTTTATTTATTTATTGTAAAAGAAGGAAAAAAGGTCAATCGATATAAAGACCAAGTATCAAGATAATTTTAGTTGAATGCTATAAATAACATGTGCCTTAGCTTCTAACAATCTCAAAAGAGCTTGTTTAGCCAACTCTAAAGCAGTTCGACCATCATCACGTTTAACATGCCACATAGTAGGGGAAACATCAATAATATAAACTGTAGCTTTTTTATCTGCCATGTTTAAAAAGTTGGAAAAATAAAAAGTTATGATTATCGTTTTGGATTTATATAAATGGGGCATACATATACTGCGAACATTTATTTGTTATTGTATTACCAAGGATTTCAGGGCTCAAAATTATAAATGATGAAAGTTTGATTTTATTATTGGTTGTAAGATGTGACAAAATAAAGTCTAGTTTTTTGATTTTATGGAACGTGTGACGAGGACTCCGGAATAAAGACCGCTTTATCTCTCCGCATTATTCATTCTTTAGATTTGGAGGAAGACGAGGAAGGAGGATGTTTAAAAAGGGGAGTTTTTCAAAGTTGTAGACGACGTTAATTGCTTTTTATAATAAATTCGCAATTTTTTACACTAACACTACGATAAATACTTTATCTGTAAAATGGAAGCTTTCTTAGTATTTGTTTCAGCTATAAACTTATTTATCGCATTGTATAAACGTGTATAGTCTGGCTAGTGGACGGATGATTGCGATAAAGAGAGAGAGAAAACTTTATTAAAACGTTGGATGGATCGTTAAGTGTAGTAGGTATAGATAACACCGAAAGATTAGAGTGGCTCTGTGGTTTCGGAACTGGTGATGTATTGAAACAGTGTGTAAGTTTACAAATTTATAAATTAGGTATGAAGAATTAATCGGTTTTCCTGTAAGGGCGAAAAATGCTCATTAGAGAGGATATCAAAATATATTATTATGCATTTTCGTTACTCCCACCGTCGATATGAATAACACATAAAGTGGTCTGTAGGTAGCGAATGGACCTTGTCTTGTAGTATGATTAATATCGTGGGGCTTGGGAAATAGCTATAAAACATAATATGTTGTGGTGTTCCATAGCTGTTTGGGGTGTTACACATCAGTATAAACACAAACATAGTTGAGCACACTTATAAAAAACTATATGTAAGGATTTTTTA